TCTAAGGATGTTGTCGGAGCGTATCGACAGATGGCGCTGGCTCAAGTGCGATTCTCACCCGAGTCGATGCTTTAAAAACGCTTAAGATGCCGGAAGAAATTTCAAAAGAGGAGGATTGAAACGCGATTATCCAAACTTTTTTTTTTTTTTTCCTCGCTCATTCGTGGAGATCGTCCGTCGAAACGAACATCCGTCGATCGTAAGAGGGAAGAAAGCGAGGTCGATTCTGCCTCCTCCTGCTCGCCGAAACATATGCATCGTCCTTGTTGCGAACGCAATTTCACGGGTTACATAGATAAGAGAGCGGGCTCGCAAGTTGGCCAGCCTGGAGGTGGGGAGGGAGAGAAGGGGGACGCGAAAAAAACGAGCGGTGGGCGGGCAGCTATTCCGGATTCAGTTCCTATATTTTGTTCTACTTGAAACTTACGAAACGAAACGAATATCTAAACGAATATTGACTCTTTTACCGGGGTGCACCTCGCGTCATTTTTCGCTCGAGTGCAAATATTCCCCCGGCTTTTTTTGTCCGTTCAGTTCATACTTCCCTTTCCCCCCTCTTGTCCCGAAACCACTAACGCCGAATTCATCACGGTGTCACGGAATAAACCGTATCGTGGAACCGTATTACCGTAGATACGTTCATGAATCGTGTTGCCGACGACGAAATGAAATTCCATTACGCGTGAAAGCAAAGAAACTTCTTGTCCAAATTACGTAATGACGTGATGTTAATAGGGAATTGAAATGCTGCTTGCATCGCTTTCGAAAGGTGACACGAAACAACGAATTTTCACGGCGATATCGATCTTTTTATTCACCGTACCGTAATATTATTTACCCGCGTTCAACAACGCGATGCAGATAAGAAAATGATCTAAATTGATCTCCACGGCGAGAAACGATTACTTTCTAGAGACTCTCGTTCTAATTACGAATCTTTTTCTTTAAGAAACTGGTGTACAACGATACTCGAACCTAACCTCGTTCGATCCGCAGCCACGTAACTAACGCCATCTCATCGAGAAGTGTGGCGTGCTGGAACGAAAGTGTTTGGATCGAGATTTGTCGCGATTCGTAGAAACGGTCGATCGTGACTGTGCATAGAGAGGCGCGGCGAGATTTTCCCGAGATTATATTACGCAATCGTGAAAGCCTTAGGTTTCTCCATCCATCTATCCATCCATCCATCTATCCATCCATCCACCCACCGATCAGTCGGCCTCTAATACGTTTCACAACAGTACACGAGCGTGCGCATACTCGATTCGAGCGATAAAATTCGTCGTTCCGGCCGTGGCGATTGTTTGTCCTCGTGTCGCGAGTACTGCGCACTCGATTGCTCCTTATCAGCGGTAATTATCAGCAAATCTTGGTATCAGGGCAAATACCGTAACACATCGTGGCGGGAGTGCTCGGCCTACCGGCGTTACAGCGAAATGGCCGCGCCGTCGATGTCTCCGCGATGGCTTCGCACGGTCCACGTGATCGCCCGCCGATCGCAATTATCGATAAAAACGGTGGGAGGATGATATGGCCGCCCGACATTTCCCCTTTTCAACCTTTTTTTTTTCCTCGCTCTTGTTTCGTTCAACGTACAAGCAATTCGATTTAATCGATAAATTGAATATCGAATGACAATAAGATTAATTTTATAATAAATTAAATAATAATAATAAATAAATTTTATAATTTTGCAATCAAAATTGCAAAAGTATAAAATAATTATATATATACGTTCAAGAAACTGTATCACTATTTAAATAAAGCATTTTTTTCCAATCTCTTTGTCACCTCGTACTTGAACAAGTTCTATGTACCTCGTTGTACACAAAACTTGTTCAAGTACTTCTCGTAATATTAAAAAAAAAAAACAGATATTTTACAACATCTAAAGAAAGTTAAATTTACACATCTTTCGACTCTATCGATGGAAATCTCTCTAAAAAAAAAAAAAAAAAGAAAAAAGTAAACACGCGATAGTTTGTCCAAAATACTTTTCCCCTCCCCAAAGAAAAATAACATCCTTCGAGAGGAATGAAACAGGAAGTGTCTGGTCGCGGCGAGAAGATCTTATATCCCGCATACTCGGCTATGGAGAGAAGTGCGAATATCGTTCCCGGTTATTTCTTGATCTATCGGTCTGGGTACATTAGCCAACGTGTTTTGAAACACTCGTGGAGCGTATTTGCGTTGGCATCGGGCGGCGCGTTGTCCCTCTTTCATCTCGTCTCAGGGAGGAGGAACAAAGTCGTTAGCCGGTCTAATATCGCGATACCCTTTTCCCTCCCCCGTGAAATCCCGCGATTTTTCTCCTCTCCTCTCCGGAGGAACAGATCAAAGACTCGGTTCACGCGTCACGGGTGCGAACAGCCCTGTCAATCATCCGGGACGCGGGCCAAAGGGATCTCTAATTACCCTTCCATGGTGATCCATCGTGGAATCGTCGTGAAATCGTGTCGAATAATACGAGATTCGAAATTCACGAGATTCAACGCTTCTATTAAATAAATAATTTATCAAATCGTATGGAGATTGTTAATTCTATCTATGGCTCACGATATTTCGCAACTTAAATAATAATAATAATAATAATAATAATAATTCTTCGACTCGGTGTAAGCATCTCTGAATTGAATTCGTAACCGCGTATTAAACTCGATCGTTATCTGTGCATGTGATTTGACAAAATCCTCGCCCCCTTTTATCTCGCGGTTGTCATCAATTTCTCGCGATACGAAAGACTGATTTTTCGAAAATGTGAAAGCTTATGTATATCGGCCGTTGCCAAGTTGCGATAATAAATTCATTTATTGCCGTCTTGTCTGAACGGATAAAAAGCAAATGATCCCCGGCCGTCATCGTTTCATTGTTTGCCACGTCTTTCCGACAAATTTACGATCGGATCGCACAAATATGTTTGCCCCGATTCTCCGTTAGAAAGTATCATCGGAACGGAGAAGTCAGCCTTGCCTCGATCGCGTGCTTATCGAGCAAAATTATTATTTCACCTTCCCCTCCCCTCCCTCCACTTTCCACTTTAACGGCTTTGTTAAAGTTTCGTTCCACCTCTCCTGGAAATGTTCCAGGAGAGCATTCCCGAGTTTTTAGTTGTACTAAAAAAAACACACACCCACGTGCGGTTAGAATTTATTTTCAAGAATTTCCCCCTCTTTTCCGTTACATAATAAAGAAAATATCGAAGAGCACAAACAAAAAAAAAAAAAAAAAATTAATTCTATCGAAAATAAACGCGGAATCCAACTCCCATCCAATTGATTTCCACGCTTCATAAAATCTCCCTCTCGAACGTCCCTCCCTCCCCCTCTATCGAGGATAATCGAACAACTACTCCACTCCTTTCCCCCATTCCCCCTTGCCCTGCTACACTGTCGCTACATTATTTACTCCTCATTATCGTGGCCGGCATACCTCCCTCCCCTCCCCTCCCTTTCTCCTTAATCGAAGGATAATAAAAATCATCCCCTGAGCGATGCCTTCTCAATAAAGACATTGTTCCGGTGAGCAAATTCTTATCCGTGAAAAAGGCGTCGTTCCCTTTTCCCTTTCCCTTCCCCTTCCCTTCCCTTCCAAGAGAAGTGAAGCGATGAGGAGGGGGAGGAGGGAGGGGTTGGATTATCGGGCTCGAGATTACAACTCTCGTTTTCCTCCCCGTTCCAATACGAGTATCGGGGAGGGGGTGGTGGTGGTAAACAGGGTGGAAAGGGGTTTATTGGCCCTAAGCAGGATACTTATTGAACTCTTAGCGGTGTTTTTATCGCTCCTTTTCTCTCTCTCTCTCTCTCTCTCTCTCTCTCGCTTCTCGCCACCCCGCCCACAGGCATAGGCGGCTTTTAAGTGTTTTCGCCTTTGTTTAAAGGACTCGCTCCCCCGCTCGCATTATGCACCCTCCTCCGCAACAACAGAGAAAGAGGTTCTTGCAAGAACCATCTCAGCTCCGTAAACCGTGGCTCAAGGGTTTTGACCACTTTTCCGTGTCCTTTCTCTCCCCCTCCGAATTCGAGATTCGGGTGTCGAGATTCTTCTCGACAGAGAGATGTATAAAGTATAATAGTATTGGTATTCGTGGAAATATTTCGTGGAGAGGAGAGTGTTATTTTTATTTATAAGGAGAATATCTTGTCGTTCGAAGGGAATAATTTTCGGTGAGGAAAAGTGAGCCACGATTATATTTTTCAACACTCGCTTCGTTCTCTCGTTTATTGAATCCCACTCGGTGGGATACGTATTCGAAAAGTGAAACCGGTATCCGAAATAATAATCGAGTGATCGATCACGGATCCGACGTCTCTCCGACGTCAAAATATTCTTGAATATTCATCGACGATGAACCGACGAACCTCTCCCCCCCTCCCAGCGCGCGTTCCCTATTTATGACGGTTCTTTCATTACCAATTCCGTCGGTTCCGCCGGCTGCCATTAGTCACACTTTGCGTACCGAAAGCGTGATTTCACCCGCGTTTATCGCGAATCGGTTGAAGGTGAAGTGCACTCGGGGGTGAATTTCACGGCGCGGGGAGGAGGGAGTTATGCGCACGTTCCGCGTAGAGGTAGAGAGAGAGAGAGAGAGAGAGAGTGAGAAGGGGGGTGGGGTGATCGGGAGCGAGCGAAGGAGAGATAAGCGATTGGGCGGTGAGGGGAGGCAGGGCCCACCCACGTGCTCCATCGAGTGCTCCGTCAGTCATTCGGCTGAACGCGCACGCAGCGGAAAAGCCGTTGGTGTGCGACAACAGTTCAACGGTGGAATTACACCGTTGCCAGTGCTCCCGTGCCCGTATCTACACCACACGCAGTTTTTTTTACGGATGAAAAAGTCCCCATTAAACTTAACGTTCAAACGGCTCGAATTCTTCTTTCTCTCTTTGTTTGCTTCCTTTCCTTTTCTTTTCTTGGGTTAAAATTTTAGCAGTATAGGATGGATAGAGATTGGTAAAAGTAAGAGAGAGAAAAGGAAGAGGATTGGAAAAAGAGAAGAGACTCACCTCTTTGTCCTTGGCTTGCAGTTCCTGCTCCAGGTTGGTGTTGGGCGTTCTCCTGGGATTGCTGGCATCGTGCACCTGCTGCTGATCGCTTCCCTGTGGAGTCTGAGACAATTTGTGTCCCTCAGTCTTCGAATTTCCATCATTCGCCGCGGCAAGTTGCTCCTTCAGTGCGGACACTTCCTTCTCCGCCAATGTCGCCCTCTGAAAATCGAACGAAACGCGAGATAAATATCAACGTTTATGTTTATGTCAAATATCTCGAATTGTATATTTCGAGAAATTATACCTTCGATATAGAATTATATTTATTACGATTTCCACCTAATTATATCTTACGTACGTGCTAATAAGTATAAATATTTGAAACTGTATTCGCGAATATAGAATTTTACGATTAATCGAGTTTTCTATTCATAATCATCTCATCGGTATTAAAGCGATCTAATTTTACTAACTTTACTTTATCGATCTTATGAATATTTGGTCAACAAGAGAGTTATATCTGCTATATGAAACGTGAATATTTATACCTTCTTCTTCTTCTTCTTCTTCTAAAATTAAACAAAGAAGGAATTCTTCTTGATCTTTAAAAATTTGAAAAAAATTTTCTCGCAGTTCTCGGTACACGGCTCGATTTATTTTTTTAATTCGAGAAACGATCGCGACGATTCCTTTAACGACGAACACGTGCGGGGATCGACGACAAATCTTGTCGACGACAACGGCACATGCCGAAAGTCATCAATCGGCATCTGGAGGCAATTAAAGTAAAATCGCGAATCGGGGTGGTAAAATATCGGAACGCCGCGTGGTCTAGCCAAGGCAACAAGTACACGTCAGTTTTTGCCCGATGCATCGAAGCTCGATCGATCGTTCCGCGAAACAACGACGCCAACTTCTCCTCTTCGATTTGAAATTGTACGGTAACACGGAATCGCGTACATAGTCATTCTATACAACGTTCGTTCACGTTCATTGTATTATTTATATTTTCCACGGTAATCCTATCTGAACCGATTCCCTCTTTCCCTCTCTCTTCTTTCTTTATCTTACGCACACAGATTTTTATTATTACGCCACTTTATTATTGTCCGTAATCTATCGTGGCATCGCATTTTCTCGCGTGGAAAATTTGCAACGAAACCAATCTCTTTTTTTTCTTTTTCCTATTCGAAGGCAGTAGCGGTAAGATCGTAAACAAATTTCGAAACGAAAGGATCCACTCTAGTCATCCAAATGGTTCAGACGAAGGAGGGAAAAAAGGAAGAAGAAACACGATGGTGTGTGTGCGAGAGAGAGAGAGAGAGAGAGAGAGAGTTGGGGAGAGGTACGAGGTAGCTATAGTAATGACCCATTGTTTCCTGCAAAAAGCCTTGACGATGTTATCGATAATTACGAAATGATACGGGAAGCATAAATACATATCTGAGAGCGCGATGCACGTTCATTGAAATGGCGGACCGAGTATCGATAGGCTGTCGGGACTCGTCCTGTGTATTTGTCACGGGAGCTGGAAAAGTGGGGGGAGAACACGAGCGGAGCTAAGGAGAGGATCGAGAAGATCGCCGATAAAGATCCGTACCGTCCGCGATCGTCACATTAGCGGCGGAAGTCGTTGAAAGATAATGGCTTCTTTGAACGTTCCTGACGACATTGCTTTTGTCGTTGTTCTATCAATAATCGGCTGTTAAGAATTTAAGTTATGGGATTACGGGGAAACTCGAGCAACGTTTTCCGCTCTTTCGATTACTTCGAGGCTTTTTCAAGCTGCTTCCTTGCTTCGATTGTTCGTTTCGATACGTTTCAACGATCGTTGATTTCCGATAGATTATCTATCAAGTATCTCGTCGCGTATTGTCGAAGTCGATCGTTTAAATGCGAATATTGCGAAGGAAACGCATCGAGAATTGTTTTAAACGTCCTTAAATGTGGTCGATTGTTAAAAAAGATTCGAACATCATTCTTGTACAGAATGGAAAATATCGAAAGAAAAAGAGAAAAGGGGGGATTGTTATTAAAAAAAAGAAAAAAATGTACATTACCGGTTAAAAGCTTAAAATCGTGAAAATATAATCCAAGATTTCGACAATTTGAGAGAAGGTTAGGTTAAAATTTTCCCATCTCGAAGAATATTGATACATGTTGATACGCTCACTAATAAATAATTACGTCGAGAGGATACAAGTCGAACGAACGATTTTGTATTTTCACAATAAACGTAACGGCACGTATATTTCGACACGAGAAAGATAGCGACCACGCGTTATTCGTAAAGTCGCCATGATCACTGAAAATAGTTGGGAAGCAAATTCGATGGATCGACACGCGGCCTGTTCGATTCGATAGTTAGACAGCACCAATTACGTACATACTCGCCTTTCGACTCTGAATAGAGGGCGTGGTGGGAGGTGAGTTTCGATCACGTCGAGGCGTTTCGTCTTGGGCCCGACGCTCGTCTTATATCCCATCGCAAATTGACGGTTATCCGACTTGCACGGTGTTCCGAGCATCGATCGATCGCCACTCACCGATTCGATATACGGAATCGCGGCTCATTGCACGTTCCGCGTGTGCAAGAAACTGCTTCGGGGCTGCTTTTAGGCACCGGTGGTCACGCACTTTTGGATCAACTACCAGGGCATCGATCGGTTTCTGTCGTGTTAATGCTTGTTTCCACGTTTTCTCTACGTTCAACAACTTCGTGTGTCGTGTAATTAAACCCCCCGTAATTTGTTGTAATTTCGCGGCCACACGGTTTCGTATATCCTCGTATATCCGTCATTTGTAATTCAAATCTTTCTTTCTCTTCGCCAAGTTTTCTCTTTGAAAGACGCGAAGACGCCATTTTTACATCGACGATCATTTTCATTATCGATAGATTGTTATACGCGTGAATAGTATTCGTCGTCTTTGCTACTATATAAGTTGTGGTGTTGTTACACGTGTATGTGTGTGTATATATGTATGTGCTTTTGGAACGATGGATGACAAGTTTGGTAAGGTTATGTTATACTGCAAGATTAGTCTTCGACATAACGTGAGTACTAACCTATAAATGTCATTGTTTCGTTTCACCAACGCTATAAATTTCCAATTGTTATATCAAACGGATCGTTTATTTTCAAACTCTAATTGTTCAGGGACTAATAATAATTTACTATTATTCGACAAACATTTGTTTCCGAATGAAGAAAAATGAAAAATTTTTTTCTTAAAAATTTCCAACCAACTTTCGAACGATCCGGTGTATATAGCGTAGGCACAATTATCGAGTATCGCCAATGGATCGGAAAAGAAAGAAAAAGAGAAATTTCACTTTCGAAATTCGACGTCGGCAAGTTCGGCAATCTCGGTGGTCACAGTTCACAAAGGAAAATGGGCCACCGCCAATGACCACGCGTGCAAGTTGGCATAGCGTATAGGCGTGTTGGCGCGCGCACGAGCGCACGGCATGCGAGTGTCGCAGCTGGCGACGCACGGTGTCGTAGCCCGTCAAACGCCGAGCATTCTTTGTGCCCCGCCGCCGGAATATCCCGAATAGATCAGCCTCCCTCGCGGCTCGCGCACCCACCCCGCCGCGCGTCTTTCTATTTTTACGCCCTAGCCCCCGAATCATCACCGTGTACCGTTCTTTTCTACTATTTATTTCGTGACGGTTGACTAATGCGCGAGACCCATCGGGAATTCCGGTTGGATCGATGTGTATGTATGTATTTCGATGCGCCCATAGCACTTGACTCTTGAATCTCTGTGTCTTGGAAAAAGCAACGGAAACAAGGTCGATGCTTCGATTTAACTTTATTACGTAGAATGAAATATATATATATATATGTTTGAATATAATTATTTAGAAAAAGAAATAGGATTTTTTTCCCTCTCTTTTACTAATGGTATAGGAAACTTTGGAGAAGAGAATTGAAATGGTATCATGCGCTCGTATCGTAGTAGAAGAAAACTATTTCCACATTAAACGAGCGTAACAATTTCAAACAACAACGTACCGAAATACATTTTTTTCGATTTGCTTTGTAAATGGAAAATTTATTTTCAAACATCTCACACGTGCTTTCACCTCGAGTTTTACAGCGAAGTAACTCATTTATTCTGAGACGTTATAGAGGCGTTTCCACATACCGCCTTTGAAACCTCTTATTGAAATGAATTTTAATGATCGTGTGCCACGCTATTCCCCCCTATATTTTTTTCGAAATAAAAGGAAATCCACGGCATTCAGGCGGCTGCTAAATAAAGCAATTTATACAACCCACTAAAACGAATATCTAATTAACATGAAATGCATCGTTTACCTTTACGACGTGTTTTACTACGCCTTCGGTTTCATTTTCCAGATTCGCGTGATCCAACCACTCGCGACTTCTTCCGTCTTTGACCTTTGACACGTCGTAACGCCCAATAATTATGCGTCGTTCGCACACCATCTCGACGATAAAAACGAAACAACCGATCGTTCTTACCTCCTCGTAAATGGGAGGGAATACACGTTAGAGAACACGGGAAAACTCCATTCGAAAAGGAGATCGACTCAAAAATACCACCGTCCGTCTGGTGACCCCATCGAAACGATATTTTTACCAATTTTATTTCCCTCGATCGATACAGGAAAGTAAATCGATCGGATGCAAACTACGCGTATACATGTATATATATATATATATACGTGTGTGTACTTGTCTATATGTGTGTGTGTAAGTACGATCGACGGTTGCCCCGTTGAACACGGAGAGACGTTATACGGTGATAGCGAGGGTGGTGGTGGTGGCAAGAAAGGGAGGAATACCTTACCACCAGCCTTCTTTATAATCTGCCTCGTGGTACAACAGAGGGGGTGGTGGATCAGCCGTTTATGACTAGCGGCGGTGTTATATTTTTTTGGCCGGTGGTAGGGGGGGAGACGGTCGTGATATTTCAAATTTTCTCATTACACCTCGAGGTGCGAATGATCTCCACCTCCTCTCCCTCCCTCTCTCCCGCGCCACCCCATCCATCCAACGGGCGCAGGCTCTCTTTACCCGATATACACGGCCGTGGCGCCGTACCCTCCCCCTCCCCCTTCTTCAATCTCACACCAACCAGCCATCAGAGGGTGAACCCCTCTTGTATTTATTATTAAGATATCGACCGGCTCTAAGTCCCGCCGCCACGCTGCAATACGCGGCGGGGGGAAACACTCGAAGCGTGCA